GTTTGTGTAATTTTAATTGCATCTTCGGGCATAAAAAATCAAAATTAAAAAAAAAAGTCGGGCCAAGGAGTTGAATCCATTTTTCATTCGTTAGATGTTTAGATTATTTTGGATTCTATTTTATGTAGCTCGTTTCTATTTTGATGTATTTCTAGTTTAGATTTCATTTTTTTTTTTGGCAACTACAATGGTGCCCATTATTCATCACGTGCTCGATTCTTCACTCTACATGCATCTCATTTTGGTGGGAGCACTTATACATTCAGATGATTGTCGTTTTGCCAACATTTGTACATAGCTAGTTCCTTGCCTTTTCTGGCCCAAGTTATCTTTTTTCTAGGTTTTATTCTTTGGCGTGGGTGGAAGTTGTGGGGAGTAAGGAACATTCTAACCGAGGAACATTCTCTTATGGCTTGTCGGCTTGATTGGACCGCGAAACAATGTCACATAACCCATATTACTGAAGTATGCATGCTTGTTTTGTATCTCATTCAACATGTATCCCTTGCTTGAAGTGTAACACAGGCTCGTCCCTTAAAGCAATTCTTATCTCTAAAAATGGATTATATATTTTTATTTTATGGGCGTTGTCGTGAATTTCTGCCTAGGATGTTCAATCTATTTTTTCCTTTTTAGGTTAGTTCATCCGGAGTTCATTTTAGTATTTTTCTTACTTGAGGACAAATGAGGATTAACCTTGGGCTGATTTGATAGTTTCATTTTATTTACTTTTTTTTATAGTTTATTTTTAGCGTATTTTATTTTATTTTTTGTTAATCTTCATGCATATTTTTCCTTTTCGTTAATTTATATCTATATCCGGGTACTTTTGTTTTTTGAGCTTTATTGTAGATATTTGGAGAAATGGAGCGGAGCACGGAAGGAGATTCGGAAGATAGACGAAGTTCGACGACTGTTAGAGCTTATCAAATAGAGTTGAATTGAAGATTGATGTCATTAGAGTTTGCTTTGAAGATTATATGCAAAAAACTTAAGCCTTAGATGATTGGAAGATGAAGATTTATGGATTATGGATTACTAGTTTTGGTTGTTCTATTTGGGCTTTTCGTGATAATAAGAAGAAGATGGAATTGTTTTGGACCACTAAATGTTGTAATTGGAACTTTAGGATCAGTCAAATAAGTCAAGGAAAAGGACAAAGAAGACCAAAGAGGAAAGGGAGACAAGAAAACCTTTCCCGATCAGCACATCTCATGAGGCCGCGTGAGATTTTACTCTGCAGCTCACGTGGCTGCGTGGCTCCTACAGCGGCAATTTGGAGAAAAAAGGGGGAAAGAAACTCTTGGAAGAACACACTTTTTCTCTCAAGTAGAACTTGAAGATTGCAGATTTCCATCTTTCCATCTTACTTCATTCTATGGTATTTCTAACTTTCATCTTGTTCTTATTAGTTTAGCCATGCTAGGCTAACCTATCTTGGGTTGACTTGGATGTAATTGTTTGAATGATTTGGTTATTTTGAAGAACTCGATGAACTTTTGTTAAATATCTATGATTATATTTACTATTGAAACTTCATTCATGTTTGTATATCTCTTGTCATGAATATTGATGTGTGAATGTTATTTTTGTTGGCTAAATTCTTTGCTAACTAATGGATCTTCAATTTGACAAGAAAAAATTAGTTTAAATGTTTGTTTTTATTTCACTTAGACTAAGAAAATATTTTCTCCATAGTAGTAATGAAAGTAATGGATTACTCTTTGGATTTTGTGACTCTTAAATCCTAATGCTAATTGATTTTCACAAAATTACATGTTTCATTAGTTTTGTGACTTTCATTTAGGAAATGTGCTTTGAGCTTCTCAAGCCATTTTAATATAAAAGAAGATTTGAGGCATTTTATGCTTATAAATTGCTATAGTCAAGTTAGATTGTGAACACAAGTATCGCACGTTGGTATTCTCTTGATTAATTAACCAAATGTTCAAATGATGAAAGTCCAAAGTCAACCATCTTTCTTTTATTGATTTTACACAAAACCTTGCTTTTGTTGACTTGTGTTTTTTAATTTTAGTATAATTCAAGAATTCTTTTAAATATCTCTAAAGTCCAAAAACATTTAAACCCCCATTTTTGCTTTTAGTTTTGTTTCATAAGTGCTTGAACAAAGAGACTTTCATAGAGTTATAAAATGGAACAAATCTCCGTGGATACGATCCCTTTGCCATTATACGCTAATTTTTGTGTTCAATATTAAGGGTATTTATTTTGTTAGCGTCGACAACCACCAACAATCTATCTCCGATTACTATTTTATGACGTGCTTTGCAGTATAGGGCTGAACAAAAAACTGCAAGAAATGATAACTTCTTCATTCGAAGTTAGATTTAAGCATTCGACATATCTACGAAAATTATATTGTCATCTAATTTACGTTTATAATGATTACTTTGGCTAAAAAGTAATATATCCTATCTTCGATTTTAAAAACAAATGGTTTATATTAAATCCTTCTGTAGAGTAAAAACGGGGTGTTACACTATTGACTTCAAATCAGCATAAAGTTTCCTTGACTGAAAAGTGTCAGTGCAACAACCAATTTTACTTTTAGATAAGTTGGAGGTTATTTTCAAGTATCACTAATATGAAGCCAACAACATAACAAATCAGTTAGTAATATGTTTGATGGAGATATGCTACCATGGGAAATCCCTAATCTACGCATGTAAGGAGTTTTTGGTTGTATTAAACTGATATGCATGGATTTCAAAAAGTAATTTTTTTTATATTTTGATGTTGAATTATTACATATTTCAATTTGATTGCAGTAACAACCATAAGAAGAATCTTTGTGGTATTTTTTAAAAGGTTACAATTTTAATTACCTTAGGGGAATCCACTATAACCTCAAACTTGCACCAAATTACGGGATAAACGGGTAGGAAAGTAATTTAACCATTTTGTGAAGATCCTAACTAATAATGTGAAAAGAAAAATGCAAAATTTACATGCTTACAGACGTTGAGCAGTGGAAGAAATGAAATTTTTTGAAAATGATAGCCATGAAGGTCCCTTTATCTTTCTTTTAATAAGAAAAAACTCCAAAACACTTTATGAAACAAAAAATTAGCTATCAGATTCTTGTATGTATAATGAAAATTTAGCAACAACTTTTACACTTACTGTGTGTTCCAATTTCTTCACATAACAAAATAACGTTTGATCATAGGTTCGTGAAAACACTTAAATATGATCAGTTGGTTGTTATTACTACCTCCTGGTTATTCTTGTAATTCTTTAGAGAACTTTCCTCACTATCTGAAGATAGCCAGATTCTCTTTAATATCAACATATTTAAACTTTTAAGTTGATATCATAAATGTTCTATGATATTTCTTTGGAATTATGTATCCAGTATCTTGGATAAAGCACATGTAGGTCCATCGACTCACAAACTGCATATTAACAAAAACACTAACATAAACTCACTGAGTCATTTTTTGGCATAAACTGTGACAATTATAGTTTGGCAATTGTCAAAACAAACCCCCAACTCTGAATATGACTTGAAGAACTAAAAGTGATTTTTGATCTTTTGATGCAGCTGTTGAACTTGTTATCATTATAACCCTCAAGTAACAACCCAATAAATTGGATCATTTTTCAGTTAGAGTTTTAGTAATTATAATTAAATATATTACTTATTTATAAAATTGGCATAATGTGTGATGATGCTTGTGTGAATAAATTGTTGTATGCATAAACCGTCAGAATGAGAGTAAATCACAATGTTATCCTATGATGTCTTGATTAAGTATTGAACCCATTAAGTCCATTAAGTAAAAAAGAAACAACTGCATTTAACATCATAGAAGATAATCTGATAAGTTATATATATATATATATATATATATATATATATATATATATATATATATATATATATATATATATATATATAGGCTTAGGTTATTCTATTCAAAGTAATTATTGTGTTATTGTATGCATAAATGTGGGCCAATCATTTTACTTATTTTAAGAAAGTGATTAATACATATTATTTAATTAAATATAATTGATATAAATACCATATAATTTAACTATGAGGGTATTCTAGTCAGTTAACATATATTTAATAAAGGAAATTTGCATATTTAAAGGGACCAAAGATTCTATTAATTTTAAAAATCCGATTTTACAAATTATAAGGTTTTTAGTTCGGACATTCAGATATAATACGTTTGAGTATGTTCAAAAATAACAAAATTTCTTGTAGAATAACAAAATTCTCGAACCATCAATTGAAGAATTAAAACAAAAATTACATTAATTCTTATAGAATACATGTAACAATTGCTAAGAATTACATTTATTTTTAAAGAATAAAACTAAAAAAAATTCAAATCTGGAAAAAATAACATCAAAATCAAACAAAAAAACTAATACATTCTAAAAGAATAATGTTGCTAAGAGGCGTCGTTCAAATTTCGTGGTCCGTTCTTCAAGCATCAGCTTCTGTAGAAACAAATACAATGAATAAATTAGTGAGAAAATATTCATACTCAATTCCAACATAATTGGAATTCGTGATTCCATTCTGATAGAATTGGAATTCATTTACCAATAATTATATTCATTCGGGGAATTCTAATAGAATATGTTCATGATTATCATAAAAAACATTCTTTTCTGATAGAATGCTATAAACGAAGAAATACCATTCAGTTGAAGCATTTTAGCGAGCACTTGGTGTGCATGAAAACAACTTTCAATTCAGTTGAAGCATTCATCTGTCAAATAAGCAACCAAAACAACCATGATTTGTGTTCAACCAATCAAACCCAAAACCTTCAAATCAACTAAAACCATGGTGGGAAATTTTGTGTAACCCTCAACATGATTGATCTACTTAGAAACACATACATCTCTAAAGAGTAGTAAAAAATCAACAAATCAAAAGAATATTAATATACGATTATAGGCATTCCTCAATAGCTACATGATACAAATGAAGAAGTAATGCATATATATAACCTTCAAAGCCCAACTGACACCAATCCATGTAGTGTGACAATACCTATCAACTTGTTGTCTTCATCGATTACAGGCAACAACTGAACAGGGGATGGAGGAACGTCCATCTTCTTCATTGCTTCAACAGCCATTCTTTCTGCACTTATGGTTCTTGGGTTCCTATAATCACAACACATTTGTAATCTTTATTAAAAAAAAAAGATCCAATTTTCAAGTTCTAAAACGTAGATTTCATCCTCTTTTTCACAAATTCAAAGTTATTAAAGATCAATGTTACCTGTTGCACATTTCACCAACAGTAAGTTTAAAGATCCCCTCTTTGCTAGCTTTGAGTGTACGCCTAAGATCACCTGCAACATGAAATCAAATAAACAGATCGATACATACATTAATCAATGATCGAATGAAATTGAGAAAAAGGAACCCAGATTCTAAATTCTAACCTTAAGTATTTCAAGTTCTTCATAACATCCCTCACCTGCAACATGAAATCAAATCAACAGATCGATACATACATTAATCAATGATCGAATGAAATTAAGAAAAAGGAACCCCGATTCTGAATTCTAACCTTAATTATTTCTTCAGACTTACCCTCTTCGTGTCCTATTTCTTCAGACATACCTCAAATCCGAAATAAAAGGTTAGATCTTGATTCGCTATGAGATGGGTCTCGGAATCGAGCATGTGTTTGGTGGCTTTTGTCAGAAAACTCATCAAAACCCACAGATGCAACAAGGGACTTCACATTCAATGATTGTTTAAGACAGAAATATATGGCCGGTTTCATCTTCGGAAAAGATTGCACGTGCAGGGAGTTGAAGGCATCACCACCGCTCGAAGAGAAGCTCGGAGACTGATGGAGTACAACGCCAACGACCTCCATTGATATTACTACTACTACTAATCAATGATCGAATAAAATTGAGAAAAAAGGAACCCCGATGGTATTGATGCGATGATGGATACGGTGAAATAAGGGTATAGGGGTGAACGAAGGTTTTGTAGGGATGGTAACTAAATTTCCATTAAGATGATGGTGTGGTTATCGGCGATGAAGATGATGGTGGTGCTCAGCAACCGGAAAAACAGGAATATGGTGGTGGTCGTCTGGTAAATTTTGTGGGTCGATGTTTCTATACGGTGGAATCGGTGGAATGAGGAGTTTTGAAAGTGACGATGAAGGGCAACCCCACAAAGGGTCGCTGGTGTCGATTTGTTCAACTTAGGGTTTTCATAATCGGTTTTTAGATAAAGAGGGGAACGAGATTTAAACTGGAGAGATACCATGATTATAGGGATTATTTTTGGAAGTTATTAAACAAATGACTAAATTACCCTTATTTATTTATTTAATTATTTAATTTTTTATTTAATTTTGATTGGCCCACATTTATGCATACAATAACACAATAATTAGTTTAAACACCTGAACCTAGCTATATATATATATATATATATATATATATATATATATATATATATATATATATATATATATATATAACTGTTTCTTTTTAACTTGAGTAGAAAGAACGGTTTAATAGAAAAAGACTAAACAATAAGGCTTTGTTTGACCTTATTTGTTTTTTGCTACCATTTATTTACACAACACTTAATTCAAGAAAGTATGTTCCTTTAACTTTATTCAGATAGAAGAAAACAGAAGAAAAAAAGAATTTTACATGTATATTGAAACAAAGATTCTATAGACCATTCCCACCAATGTTCGAAACAAATAAGGAACAAACTTGTCATCATTTTCCACTACACTGTAATTGTAAAGAGCATATTGAAAATGTGATATTCTTGATAACATCACAACTCTAAACTTATCATAATAATCTCCCTTGCCTATTAATCTTATAATCGAATCGTTTTTTAGGTATCTTTATAACCGCGCATGCATAAAAACATACCCTAATGAGCTCACAGCTCAAACAGAAGGATGAACCACATGTAGAACATGATTTAACTTACTTGGGGGGTACTTACTTGAATCACGCGATAAAAAAGGGAACCAAAGAAATAAGGAAGTGATACGCCTATAGTAATTCGCTGATTATTAAGAAATATCTCAAACCATAACCGAAACCTATTCGTGCAACACACATTCATGTTGTAGATTGTATGAACATGGTAAGGAATGGTGCCACTAAACCAAATACCAAAATTTCTAATACTGGTTTGTTGAATGTCTCGGTTTCCATATTTAAAATTGGTATTACCTCCTATCTTAAAAGTGTGATATAGGCAACAAAAAATTAACTTGTTGGCATTAATTGGGATAACTATATAGATCTTTTTAACATTAATCTTAAAGCATTAAGAAATATCATTAAAATGTTCAATTATATTTTACAGTCATTTTTCAAACTCTGTCAAAAACATTTCTTGTTACTTTTGGCTTTGCAAAGACATGTTTTTTACTTAAATGGAGTGACAAATACAGGTGCATATCACTAGAGACTTAGTATAAAACAATAAAGAAACAATTAGCTCAACCACGAGTCCATCATCGGAGCCTGAAATTCCTGTTGCGGTAGATATCCCATGTCAGCATCTTTGGCTAAATAGCATATACACAATTTATGTACACGAATTCAACAATTAAATGGATATTGCATACAGGAGACATTAATTCAATTCTTATTCTACATATTTTAATTTAAAATGGAAAGTACAAAAAACAATATAAAAATATTATATAAGAAGAAAATAAAAGTCACTAAAAATTTGATTGATTTTACTAAAAGAGTGTTATCAGCCACGAATGATTAAACGTTAGCTATACACTGAAAAAGTAGTAAAACTTATTTTAAGAAAACAAACCGTCTTTCATTTTCGTGATTGTGGTTAGCTAAAGTCGAATTCCATTGTGGTTAGCTGAGGTTAGTGTATAGAGGAGGTGACCGGCATAGGCAATAGGTTTAGAAATACTGAGATAAAGTGGGATATAGAGGAGGTGCTGACAAGGACTGTGGAGGAGGTGGTGACATCAACGTTAGATGAATCGCTAATAACAAGTTGTAAATTCAGGCATATCAAATAAACTATGGTATGATAATGATAACCAATAAACCACTGTTCTATCGATATCGAAGGTCATTACAAAAACTATATAATATAATGAATATGTTGAAGGTTCAGATATCAAATAAACAAAAAGAAGCTCACTATGATTACTAGGAAAGTGTATAGCTTTAAAATCCTTTACACAGACATTAGATTGTCTAAGCATTTAATACTTAATTTTTTTGTAACGCCCCAAAAATAGTAGCATTTTTTTTCATTTTTAAACCATCAAGTGATACAGTCATATATTCCAAAACCAACACAGTAAAAATGTATATTTAAAAATGTATATTTAAAACATCAGAGTAAATCAAAAGTAATCGGTACGGAAAAGTCTTCAGCTTCAGGGGATGCTGTGCAGTCAAGTCGGCCCTTCATTTTGGAACTTGAAGTACCTGAAAATATTCAAATGAAAAACCGTAAGCACAAAGCTTAGTGAGTTTCCAAAATACCACATACTGTATAATAGGCATAGGCCAACATGCAAATGGACCCAACCAAATGTACATACCAATAAGCCCAACCCAACATGCATACCTATGGGCCCAACTAAACAATGGGTCCAATACAATATGAAAATGGGCCTAGTCCAACATGCATACAAATAGGCCCATTCTAACCGATCAATATAGTGAAAAGACTCACCCGTCTCACGAAAACAGCTAAACTACAGCTCAATGCCCCACCTTAGTATACACAAGTTCCAACCTTAGTATATCAAAATATACAAGTTCCAACCTTAGTATACACACTAAATCAGCAATCTTAACCAAAACTTAACCCAGGTCAATAAGTCAACAGTAAAAGTTAAAGTCAACATGCAACAATATCAACCATGAGGCTCACATCGTGACCAGCCCTTGGTCACGTCGTGAGAACACACTCAGCCTGATCCCAACTCGTCTCGCTCCAACTCATCCAAATCGGTCACCCACAACCCACTCCGCAAGAATCACGATGTGAACCCTCCTTGGTCACGTCGTGGGCATAAAAGGACAAGATAATCACAAAAACTTCAATCATTATGTCGTAACGTCCTCACTGTCATGTCATGACCACAGTCTGAGACAACAACTTAATGGTTTGAGTCCTTAATCCATTAAGTCTTCAACTCCTACTTTCTAGAAAGCTTTAAGGGACTCCATAGGTTCATAAAAATGAGAACTTTATAGATATGCATGCTCCATTCATGTCCTCTACCCTATTTAGGTCAAATACAAAGAAAATGACGTAAAACTCTTGCAAGGTCCACAATCCACAACAAACCCTTAGATCCATATGATATGATGATGTAAGGATTGAGGAGGACCATAAAGTTGCCAATTTTATTCCATCCATTTAGTCAAATCAAAACTGTGAACCAAGAGGGACCAAAATAACTTAGATCTAAGAGAATAAACCAAAAAGGTAGAGGATTGAATCCTTACAAATGGTCCACTAGGAAATATCAAAGATGAGAAGATGTTGTTTGCTTAATCCTTGCCCCAAATCTCCTTCTACATCCTTCAAAGAGTACCGAATCCACCAAAAATGAGCCAAAACCAGCAAGAGAGATTAGATTTAGGGTTTTCTACGGTTTGACAGTGATGGAGGCTGATAATGAACCCTAAAATCGAGTTTATGGGGTTTAAATACGAAGGAAACCCTAAAATATCATGGGATTAAGATGCAACCATCCTCACGTCGTAACCACACACGTGTCATGTCGTGACTAAAGTCCAGATACGCGTTCTTCACTTTGGCTTGTCACGTCGTGACCTCCTTATAGTCATCTCGTGACACCTAGTTTTCCCTAAAAACCATGCTTCTGACTCCTTAATGCCTTAAGCCAATCCATCTGGATTACGGGTGTTACAACTCTCCCCCACTTAAATTAGATTTCGTCCTCGAAATCATTCCTTACCGCTTACTTTACTACACCAGCCAACCATGTCTGATATTCCTGAATTCAAAATAGAACTGAGAAATCATCTCACACATACAACCGCTTTCCAATACTGCTACCGAAACCCAATCTTATTAGAAAACACATTCTGTGACAATGAAATAAACCTTAACACTATGTCCTCAGCCAACGAAATAAAATTCAATTACACTGCCTGAAAACTAAAAACCCTAAACCATGTATGACTTCCAGACAGACATAACCATCCTATACCACATCCATAATAACTCCACTCTACAACCCGAACCGAAAGAATCCCACCGACCCTGAATCATTGTGTTGATAAAAGGACACATAATCTCTAACCATTCACCGATGTTGATAACCTCGATCCCTAAAACAAAGGAGAATCCCAAGACCAGCCTCAAGCATTGGCGCCAAACCAATAGATAACTCAAATCCTGATAACCAAAAATTCACATATTTGATCTATCTGAGATCTCATGATTCCACGCTGACCTTCTAATAAACTAGGATGCAGAAACCTTAACTGCTTGTTGAGACTGACAATCTCATGCACAGTCGTACGAGACTCTGCACAAGAGTGTAACTGATAAAGGCTACCCTAACCTATCTGCCTTACAAATTCAACCCGCTAATCACGGAGCTTCCTTAGTCCAAACTTGTGTTAATGCCCCAACCATGCCAGTCACTACCGGGTCCCACC